AAGCCCCAGAAGCAGTGAGGACAGATGAGCTGTGTGGGTTTTCTTCATTCATGTATTATCCTTAGAGCTATTAGTAACTGCATTTCACTTTTAATATTTTTTCCAAGGCAAGCAGCTTTGCAGACTTTTGTTTTATCCTGGGCAGAGCTGCTCTAGTGGCTCTGGAGATAGGTATTAACACACTCCTGTGAATTTGGTTCTTACAGTTGGCTTCTCTGGTGTCTAATAATGTCCAAGCTTGCTTAAGCCAGCCTGAACACCTGGTTGCAGCACTTGGAACTAACCTCCCTCCTGCTCTTGCTTCTGCCTCAAAAGGCATCTAGCACGGGACGAGGGAGACACTCACAGCCTGGCTCTCCTCTACCTCTCGCCCACTTCTGAGCAAGTGCCTCCAGGATGTTCATTGCTGTGTTAGACCTGGCCAATCTGACTAACAGGGTCAGAAGTTGTGGGGGCAGAAGGACAGATACATGCAGATTGTGATGAATGCTTCATTTCCTTATAAAAGCAAGAGAAAAGCAGAAGTCTTCCTGGCAATTCAGTGGACATGAAAAATGCACTCATAGCATTACTGGCGAGGTTTTCAAGTTGCTGTTAAAATTCCACTTATATTATGCTACCTCCAGCCTCGGAGTCTTCTGTGTTTTGGAGCAATACATTAAACTGTCTTTTAGCAGCTGCCTGCCAAGGGGAAATGGAGGTTTTGACATTTGACCCATAAGGAAGGATGTGTGGCATTTGGGGCTACCCAAATAAGGATTTTAGCTGGATGCTAAAACAAGCTGCGTTTTTAACAGTTAACTATTTTGACGCTGGTTTTGTATCATGGGAGTTCAAAGTGGAGGCCCTGACCAGGTGAATGAGGCAACCCCAGTCCTGCAGGTTCAAGTTTGCCTGAGGCTGCATTCTTTGCACAGCTCTTTCCATTTGGAAAGGTTACTTTGCACTGTCATGAACTAAAAAAAAATCCACATTTGTTTTAATAAAGAACTGAGATTCCAAAGCAGGACTCAATAGCCAGCAGTGGGTTCTGAGGCAGATCCCTCGGAATTAGTACAAATATCTTGACAACAAAATAAAACAATACTACAAACCCAACTGAACTACACTGCCAAAGGGAAAAAGATAATTCCCTTAACTGGTCAGTTTTGAACAGTGGCTCAAGAACCCTTTTTTCTGTGGAACAGATTTTATTCCTAGGACCTTGTCTCCATTAGAAGGAAACGGATGATTTTCAGCTATTCTCATAACTTGGGCAAGACAATTTTGGACACTGCTGAGATCGCGAAGGTCTGCCCTGATCCATCTCCTAGCACAAGTTCCTGTCGTGGAGCAGTACTGGCACCCTGCTGCACCTTGCCAGTTCAGGGCATTGATCTGCCAGAACACCACGCATTTGTTTCCTGAGGCTGGCTTTCTGCAGCATTAGCTCTGAACCAGCCTACTCTGACACAAGGTGACATCTAAACACATCAGAAGGAAGGAAAAAGGACAAGAGCTGGACAAGACCATGCAAGCCCCCAATTCCAGTTCATGATGGCTAAAGCAGAAGGCAGCATCCCCACCCTCTGAGATTCGAGAGGCTGAGAGACCCCAATGGTACCTGAAACACTTTCCAAAGCATGTTGTGTCTCCAGAACCCATTCAGACCTGAGCCACCCTGACTCTGCTTGGGGAGAAAGTGGCTATCAGCAACTGGGACATTATATGTCAAGAAACAGACTGCTAATATGATGTACAGACAGTCCTTACTCTGCTTCCTGTGTCCTGGTGGACTTCAGGCACATCATTTACTCCATCTGCAAAACAGCATGCCGATTTCTCTGAGGTGCTGAAAGAATAAACACATTCGAGACTGGCATGAACTCTGCGAACTTCGCGCACACAATAACAACCCTCTGTCGCCAGTTCAGGCAGTTCCAGTCAGCCATTAGGGTACGTAAAGTTTGTGAAGTGATGACCTGAAATAAACTGTTAAAAAGTGTGGTCCAGTGGCATCAAAACTAATTTAGAGGCCCTGATCCCTGGAGGTGCTGAGCCTCCATCTTGCTCCCACCCTTGGTGGGAGTTCAAGTACTCATCTCCCCAGAGGGGTACAAGTTCTCAGCCCGATTTCCACAGACTGCTGCTGTTTAGTTCCAGCATTCCCAACATCTTCAAAATACCCAAAGCCTCTTGTGCAATGAGCAACATCCCCTGCTTCCTAGCTACACGGTGGTTTATGTTACTTCACGCCTACAACCATTTCAGAATTGGCTTTACAGACCTAAGTGGAAGACTAAACAATGCTGGAGCCACAGCAGGAGAATTTGCAGAGTTTTATTCCTTGTTTCGTTTGGGCAATCCTTCTGCCTCTCATCAGGGACAAAAAACTTGCCAACCTCTTAATTTAGGAATAGTGAAGGCTCTGCATTCCAGTCCTGAACCAGCCAAAGGAGCCTTTTCAAGCTGGAAAGGGGAAATAAGGCAAATACCTTTAAGCACATTAAAAAAAAATGGGGGAAAAAAAAAGAAAAAAAAAAAGAGCCTCAACACCTGCCTTTTGCAGGCAAAAACCTGCTCTTGGGGCACTCTTGAAACTGGCCCGACATCAGCATTTGAAAGCAAATTCCAATCCCTGCTCTTCTGGATGTCAGAGTCCTTTCCCTGTCACTGCTTTAAACAAAAAGCAAACTCTCCCTAGTATATGCTTTGTAGGCATGCTGCAGATGGAAGCACGAGTCCGAACAGAATAGTATCACGTGAAGCTAGCAGACTAGGTTTTGGTTTTGTTGGGGGTTTGGTTGTATTGGTTTTGGGGTTTGTTTTTGGGGTTGATTTTTTTTTCTAATGGCTACAACAACCTGCTAAAAGTTTTGTCATCTGGAGAGCAAACCCTTTTCTGGATGTCCAAGATTCTTTGCCAAGACATGCTGAACTCTGAATATTCCAGCTGCATGTTTCACATCATGCTGGTTAAGGATGTGCCAGTATTTTTATTATTAGCCCCCTATGAACATTACAGAACACCGCATACATTAAAGTGTTCTTAAACTGTGCTATTTATGTGTGCATGTATTACACATAGAGATATGGTTAAATAAATCACACCCACTGTAACAGAATAAAGACAATAAAATCAAGCAAAATATCCAGTCAGGTAATGTAATTCTGAAATAAAGTCCATAAAATCAAAAAAAAAAAGTATCATTAACTCAGAAAGTCACCTCTCAACCCATCACAGCAATGCTCTCTCCCCCCACCCCAACTTCTTGTAAAAGCGTAAGTTTGGAAGTCAGTGCCAGATTCCTTACATCTACATGCCCTTGGCTTCTTCTAGAGGGTAAAATTCACTCCCTTGACACTCATATTCTGTAGTCAAGCAAGATTTCACATCAACTTGTTCTCCAGACTCCCAACTCTCCACAGCCCTTCGCAGCCGGGCAAAGGAGGGGGAACAGGAGCAGGGACTGCAGCATTCGCAGCCTGAGTGCATGGAAGCAGCATCTTGCAAAGTGCGATGTTTTCCCTGCTGGTGGTTTTTCTTCACTCCCCTCTCTCCATCTCTCCCCTTCAAGCAGAGCAGGGTGCACAGGTCCCCAGACCAGGGTGCACAGGTACTCACAGCAGCGTGCGCAGGTACCTGGCTATGCTCCCATTCTCCTGGGGAGCGAAGCCAGGAGGTACAGCCCGGTTCAGAGTGCTTTTCAATAAAGCCTCAACACAAGAGAAGGGAGGGAATTCGAAGCTGTGCTGCTGAACTAGTTATGCAAAGAAGGGTCAGAGCCCCAGTCTTAGCCAGGGAGCAAAGCCAGCAAGGAGGCAGAAGTCAAGGAGGGGTGATTTCAAAGGAGAAAGTGCTGGTTTCTACTCCCAGACCTGATTCTGCAATTTTCAGCATTCCACGGAAAGGGAAAGAGCTTGCGGCCGATCGCAAGGGAGAGGAAGCATTAATAAAACCCAAGCTCTGCTGTATCGGCATCCCCAAGAGCGCTCCCTCCCACACACATTGCAGCAACAGGTCAGGAGCCTGTTGACGTCCCCGTCCTCGGGGCTATGCCCTCGGGGGATGCTCCTCTTCTTCCGGCACCCGGTACCTGGATCGGGGGGAACAGAGGGGACCGGGACCCCTCACGGGCTCTGGCAGTGGACACGGCAGCTCCGAGGTGGGCTCTGCTGGGAAGGCACCCACAGGGAACGGGCTCCCCACAGAGCAAAACCCCGCAGTGCCTCAACCACCCCCTTCCCACCAAGCAGCACATGGTCCTCCCACACTGCTGCTCCCCGTATGTTTGGGGGTCCACCACCCTCAGGAGTGATTTTACGCCTCCAACCCCAAATCTGAACCTCCACCTCCCTCTGCTCGCTAAGGGCTCCCACTCCCCTCAACTGCATCTCCCCGAACTTCACCCTTATCTGCTCACAAGGGTTTTCTTCTCTAGAAGACTCCAACCTGCCCCTCGCCCCGGGGAAGTCCCTGCATTTCTCCTGTTACACCCCACCCCTGTGATTCCTGCCCCGTGCCAGGCAACCTCTCTAACCCCAGGGGTAGATGTACCCCCCCCTTCCCCCCAAAGAACATTTTCCCCTCTCCCCCAAGGACGCACTCACGCTCTTTCGCCCCTCCATCGCCTTTTTCATTCCTGCCCCTTTGGTCCCTCCCCTGACTCTCCCCTCTCCCGCAGGGATCCCCCTTCCCTACCCTCCCGAGGGGTCCCTCTGCCCTGGGAGCACACCCTTCAGACCACCCTTTAGGATTCCGTAGAGGTGCCGGTGCCCCGCGGCACTGGGTCCCGGGTGCGTTGCACCCAGCGCACAAGCCCGGTGCGCAGTTCACAACGCACTGTACCCGGCGCTCGGTCTCCGGTACCCCCGCCCGGAGCGCGGCGCGCAGTGCCCTATCCCCAGCATCAGGTCGCCGGTCCCTAGCACTCAGTGCGCCCGGTGCCGCGTCCTCGGTGCGCGGCTCTCCAGGGTCTGCGGTAGGGTCCGCGGGGTGCGCGGAACCGGGCGCTGCTCACCTGCGGGGCGCTCGGCGCTGGCGCCGTACTCGGCCGTGTCGCGGCGACGGGCGCAGGTGCCCTGCCCCTGCACCAGGGCTTGCAGGGGCAGCTCGGCGCCGGGGTCGGGGTAGCAGCGCAAGCCGGCGGCGCAGCGCGGAGTGTAGACGCCGCACGCCTCGGCCTCCAGGCGGGCGCACACCGGGCAGCAGCCGCAGCCCGGCTCCCGCACCAGCTCGGGGCAGGGCGGGCGGGCGGCCGGGGGGCAGGCGGCCAGGCGCTCCGCCGTGCAGGGCGGGCAGCGGAACAGCACCTCGGGCAGCGCCGGCCCCGCCAGCGCCAGCGCCGCCGCCGCCGCCGTTACCAGCAGCCGCGGCCAGGCGGCCCGCGCCGCGCCGCCGCGACCGACCCCGCCGAGCGCCATGGCGGGACTGACGGGCGGCGGGGCCGGCAGGTGGACACGCGGCTCGGCCCCCCGGCGGCGCGGCACGGCGCGCAAAGGAGCGGAGACGAGCGGGGCGGCGCAGCACGGCACGGATCAGCGCGGTGCGGAGAGGAGAGGAGCGGAGCGGAGCGGGGCCGGGCGCGCCTCGGCGCCGCCGGGTCCTAGAGCCGCCCCCGCTCCCGCCCCCCACCACCACACCTCCCCCGAGGGGGTCGGGGCTGCCCCGGTTGGAAGAGGGGGGCCACCCCAAAGCGGAGAGGGGATCAGACCCAGAGGGGGTCGGGGGCTGCTGCGCAGGAGGTTGGGGGATGTCCCAAAGAGGAAACGGGGGTGTGAAAGTGGGGGCAGAAACACCTAGTACAGGGAGGGATGGAGATCCTACCTCACAAGAGGGTTGCGGTCCTTCCCCACAGGGTCATCCAATGATGGGGGGAATTGGGTGCTCTCCTCACCCCCAGAGAGACCCGAGATCTGGTCTGGGGCGCAGGTGGGGGCCCACGCTCACCCCGTTACCCCAGGAGAGCCACAAGCAGCCATGTTTCAGGCCACGTCCCACCGTGGAGATGGGGGGGGTAAAACCTGGGCTCAGGGAAAGTCCTGCCATCCAGCCCGCCACCGCATGCTGGGCCTGGGAGTCACCCTGCCTCCATGGGAGCCGGATCCTGATGTCAGGTGAGCCCCTTTGAAGACACAGGGTTCCAAAGGCCTGCCTGCATCTCTAGCCTGGCTCCTCACAGGGCATTTGCACCCTCAGACCAAGCCCATCTTAGAGCAGGCTCAGTGTCTCCCTACAGCAATGCCCCACGAGGGTGCCTGAAACCCTGGGTACAACTGGGATTTTGGTATTATATACCCATTTCAGACCTCATCTCTCCTTGCTGCTCAGTTGTCACAGGCTACACAGAGGATTTTAAATACAAGGGGTATCACATAGAGGTGACTTTATTTCACGAATAAAAAACATTAACAGCAAATCCAAGGGAATGCAGCCGAGCTACTGAAGCTGGGAAACTCAGTATTGTGGGGTTGAATGGTTAAAGCCAAGCACTGAGGCAGTTCCCTCAGCCTCCAGAATGTCAGTTTTGGGACATTTAAAGTTAACTCTTGCTCACTTGCTGCTGTCATTCTGTGTTGGTTTGGTTTTGTTTTTTTTTTCAAACTATGAAAAGAACAAAATGCTGCTGTTGATGACTTCTGTGCCATAACTTTCAGCACAGGATTACTCATGGCCATAGAGTTATACAAGATGTTTGTTTGTGGGCTCAACAAGCACAGGGTGGGATGGTGGTCTGCAGCATTCTGTACACCCCATGAAATGCCCGTGCTACATCCCATGAAATGCCTGTGCTACATCCTGGGACCAAGCATGCTGTCCCAGTAACTTGGGTTTTACAAGAGTTTAACCAAGCGTGGTCCCTTTCTCTGGCTGCCCATCATGCTGCAGATACCTCATTGTGGAAGAGCTGCCCATTCATTTTCCTTTTTAAAACATACCATTGATTGTTTGCACCTCGCTCAAGCTAGGCAGTGATTTTAACCATCCTTGTTTCACCTCTGGAGGAATCCAGTTAGTTTTGGGGTCCCTATGGCAGCAGCACTCATCACTGCATACAGCACTCATCACTCTGAGCGTGGGGGACTCCGAAACTCCAAGCCAACAAAAGCGTTTTGCTGAAATTAGAAGCAAATTACAAAGATATTTTTATTTCACCATGTTACAGAATCCTTTCTGTATTACAGAACCTGGATTTTATCCTGAGTGACTTAAAGAAGTCTCTTCAAGAAGATAACAGCAACAAAAAAAAAACACAGAAAAAAAACTCAGCACAGACTTTGCACTCATTACTCCCACAAATCACAAAGTGGGAAAACGGGAAGCACAGCACACAAGCAGCCCCTTAAAAGCCTTCCTTTAAAACAGATTTGCCAGCAGATGTTCAATAGAAAATGGAGTGAATTATTTTCCCTGCACACTCACGACTTCTCAGAGATGGAGGAAGGAGGCTCTCGGTACCTTTTCTATGATCTGCCGTTGACTTCACTAATGACTCACATTTGGTTCCAATGAGGTATTTTCATATGACTAATGAATCTATATTTGGAGGCGTAATAGGGTTTGGTTAATTATCTGTTTCAGTCAGTTAAATATTCCAACTATTCAAAGTAGGTTTTCTTCCCGTGGCAAATGTTATGCCCCCATGGTCTGTCTTCCCCTGGTGCTTTAAAAGCAGCCCAACACTTCGACTCGTACCAAGCTGACATCTGGGTTTCTGCATGTGTAAGCACAAGAGATGGCCTGAACTTAATTATACAGCTAACCAATCCTGCATTTTTTAGGTGGCCAATAGGTCATTCCCTGAGGGACAATTTAAACCTGATTTTTCAACACGCACTTGATGCTTGCAGCGGCCCGTTTTGCTGGGAGCATTTACTGGGGTGCCATTAATAACTCCTGGCAGGGGCAAATTCCTTATAAGCACCGTTGTGTAGGCTGCCTGTGCACAAATCATTTTTCCACAGGGAGAGCTGGAAATCTGATGAGAGAAGGGAGAGAGGAGGGGGAGGGAAGGGGCTCCATCAGCTCAGCTGCCTGAATTGCAGGAGGACATTAAACATAATGATCCTGGAGGGAAAGAAACTGTACGCAGCTCAGATGTGGGAATGAGCCAGGATTTCCTGTACATATGCCTCTTTAGTAGGTGCTTGGGCTGTGCTCTTTCTTTTATCGCTGTCATTTTCTTTGTCTGCCACCGAAGCAATAACGCTGTGGCAGATACAATGGATCAGATGTTCCCCTGCCCCTGCTGCTGCAGCCCTCGGCCAGGAGACCTCTCTGTGCTGCTCTCCGACACAAACAGAACAATAAAGTAGATTTTACAGCTGTTGTGGGATGGGGGGAGGCGGGGAGGCAGAGGGAAAACAGCTTGAGTGCCCATAGCCAGCTATAATTTCTCCAGTGGGTCTTTGCTGACAGTTTTAGGATTAACAAGTGAGCTCTGTTCCCAGGCATTTACCCCTCTGGATAAGCTGGCCTGTTTGTTCTCAAGGGTTTATTTTACCCTACAAAATATGGCATTGCCAAACAGATGTAGGCTTGTTCCTAGAAAGGCAAGTTATAGCTGAAGCTGCATCTCACAGAGGCTTTAGCCTTGGAATTGTTTGGAAATGCTACAGTATTCCTCAAGCCCTTTTCAGGGCAGTTTTTTCCCACAGACGTGCTGGTCAATTCTTTTATGGCTCTGTCTTTGTCAAGAATGAATTAGGAAAAATAAACTCGCAAACAAAAAGTGGAGGCCCGGCACAGAGATCCTCTTGCTCCCAATGATTAAGAAGTATTTTACAGCTCTGGGTATGTAGGGGGAAGAAAACAATGTGCTCTCCTGCAGTTATTTGCCCCCTCATTTTCAGGTTGGTGGGTAATAGGGGGGGGAGAAAGGAAAAAAAAAAAAAGAAAAAAGAGGAAAGAAGAAAGAAAAATAAAACAGTTTTATTACTTTTAAGAACTCTCATTTTCAATAGACCAATACAAAGTGCTTTATGGCGAGTGCTGCAGAAAGCCGTGTCCCACAGCTGGCATGGTGAGGGGCAGGTGATGAGGAGGGGAAGGCTGAGAGAAAGGCTGCGAGGATGTGTGCTGGGACTCATGGGTGTTTGGTGGTCAGGATCTTGTTTTCTTGCTGGAGATTCTGCAGATATTGGCCATGAGTAAGGGTTTGCCACTGACTTAAAGTGAAAGAGGGCAGGGCAGCAAGGGGTCTGCCCTCCTGCACTCCATCCCTCCCCAGGGAGTGACAGGGGACATGCCTAAGGTCAGGGTCCATTGGTGGTTATGGCAGAAGGAGCTCTGCCCCAGTCCCTATCCTCTCCACAGGGGACCTCAGCTCCCCTTCAAAAGGAATAAAGTAGCCATAAAATCCAATTATGGAGATGCCAACTATGGAAACATGTGTGCATTCATGGTCTCAGGTGATGCCCTGCCTTTGTCAGCTGGCACGTTTTTCCCCTCAGCAGCAATCATGCTGCCAGAGTTTTGGGGGTCAGATCTCCACCTTGCACACTCTAGGAGGGAAATCCCATGAGCCCAGCTCCCTTTCCCTAGGCTGTCATTTTGGGACATGGCTCCCTGTCCCTCCCTGCATGTTCCCTAGGGCCATAAAGTCCCTGACACTTCAGCCTCATGCTGCCTTGCCAACCAGCCACAGAAGCAGGGAGGGTGAAACTTAACCTGCCTTCAAACACCCTAGTTCAGCAGCTTTGCCCACTGAATCAGGGTATTGGGGGTGAGGTGAGCACTGCAGGGAGGAGGGAGGCACTACAAGCCCCACTTGATCCACCCTGCTCCTAGTCCTGGTTGCTCTCCAAGGCAATCACACTGAAAATGGCAAGCTTTCAAGGAAATAAAAGAATGGCCCAGAAATAAGTTCCCAGCATCACCTCTTCTTCCTTTTGCTTACCCACCAGGCTTGATAAGCAGAAGTGGGTGAACATGGAAGCAAGGATGGTTCTCAACTGAAGTGAAGATCATGTTTTCTCACTTGGAGGAATGAGTGGGCTCATTCCTCCCCCTGCAGCCACACAAGACAGGGATAGAGCTGCACCTGGGTTGCTGCAGGTCTCTCCAGCACGCTCTCTGTCTGTCTCTGCCCTCCAGTCTTCACTCCTGGTGGTGACCCGTGGTTGCACCTCAACCTCTTGTCTTCCCTTCACACCAAAACTCATCCAGCATTTTTCATGCTTCCCTCAGCATTTGCTCTCTGGACCTTGGTTGTCTCTGGTGCGAGGAGTGTGGGTACCCTGCGGGCTCCTGTGGCTCTGATCCACACCTTAGCTCTGCTGCTCCAGAGGTCACACTCAGATGTATATCTGAACCTACCTGATGGCCCAGGCCCCCCTCTCCATCCTCGAATTGCTTTCCCCAGGTGCACCAGGCTGGCCGGAGGTCAGATGTCAGCATGAGGTCAATTATAGGCTGCTCTCTTTACATTTACCCTATC